ATAAAATTAATCATTGTGTCGTAGCATTGAATAATGATCTTTTTCAACTAGTCCACGCACGATGCATATCTACGTATTAATGATGATAACAATGCAAACAATTCGCCATAATCAAACATTGAAATTCCATTTAATCAATCGATCGTTAATTATGAATTAATTAAGTGATTTTTCATCAATTTTCATTTACAGAAACCTGTTTCTATAACCAAACCTAAACCTAACTTAAACCTAACTTAAACCTAACCTAAACCTAACCAAACAAAAATTCTACTAAATCAACTCGATCGATAATTTAGTGGCAGTTAAGAGTACATTTGTTAAGAGTGCATCAATTTTCGTTTATATGAAGAAGTCTGTTCCTAATTTTTACCTTCTCTACTGATCAATTCGTTATGTACAGGATTTTTCCAAATATATATGCGTGATAAAATAAAATACTTTGAAATGAAACTGTTTTGAAAATTCTTTTAGCATATACACTTTTCTTCACTAAAACTCTTTTAATATATACTTCTTCTTTTATTTAATATTTTTATTTTAATATATACTTCTTCTTTTATTTAATATTTTGTGAATTTTTTCATATTATGTGCATTCTGTGTAATTTCCCTTTTTTTAATTCTTTACAAATGTATAGAAATTCTAAGAATTCTAAAAATTCCTAAAAATCCACTGATAACAATGAATTATTTCCTGATTATATACAGATTGTAAATTTCTAAACATTTTCACTTTTCATTTTAAATATATTATACTATATTTTATAGTCTTACATATTACGTGAATCCTATGTAATTTCCACTTTTTTACAAATGCACAAAAATCCGCAAACTATTGATAGCAATGAATCATGGTCCTATTATACACAGAATGTCTAAATATCCAGATTAATCTAAATCCCTTTGTCATTCATAAATTTCTAAAAATCTAAACATCTTTGCCATTCACAGCATTGCTCATACTTTACATACACTTTCGATATTTTATATACACTCTGCCATGTTACGTGCAATTTCTAAATATTTGCAATCCAGTCTTTCTCGCTCACCGATTAATCCAAGGAAGAACGTCAGCGAATAGACGACGAGGACAGGTCCAAGTTCCGCCCAGTCGAAGCGGCTGAACGACTCGTTGATATCGTAATCGAGAAAATCGTCTGTGGTATTTGTCTTGTTCGACATGACTGCGATTAGCTTCTTGACAACGACACTTCAGAGGCTGCGTCCACTTGACAAGCGTTTTCCATCGTGCACGCTCTTAAACAGTTTGTCTAACTGCAATTTGCCCTTCGTGATCCCTTCGTTACCCTCCCCTTGCCGCGTCGAGAAAACTTCGCTCGATTTTCCTCGCATACTCTTAGACACCCCCGCGTTGATTTCTTGCCATAATGTTGATCCTGAGAGAAGAGAAACGCCGAGTTAATTCACTGGAATTTAATTGGAAATTAAACTTCGTGCAAGAGCAGAATTTTTTTTTTTTTTTTTTTATAAATCTTTTTTTATATTAATTGGTGCAAGAAATAGACAAAACAAAATGTGTCTCGTGTGTTCTTGAACAAGTACAATTTGTTCGGTTCTTGCACCGAAGTCTTAACATTTTGTTTGCTCAAGTTTTCCCCTTTCAATCGAAAGTTTTTAAAGCAAAACTATTTTAGAATTTTCGTTCATAATATTTCGTGAAAGAGAATTTAAAAAATTATGGAAATATTTTGTATGTATATATCCTTCATTGTAATTTCAGGTTATTAGCTATATTAAAAAAAAATATCGAATGATTGCCAAATTTTGCAAGCAATAAATTATATTAAGTATATCGTTTTACATTGCGATGGTCGTTTTAAATTCTTCAAGGAACAACAGCAGAAAGAAACAAAGCGATCAAGTGGCAAATTTTCAAGTTAGAAACAAACAGTTAAAGCAATCTGTAGAAACAAACAACTCGATGCCTGAGAGAGACTAACTGATCCAACAACCGGAAACACTAGACTCGTGTTAGTTGAGCTACGAATGCCACAATCAGCAGTCTCTTTAAACACACAACCGTGCTGTTATTTGTATGATATAAATGGCTACTGTGTGTACAAGTCGAGCCTAAATTGCCCATCATACTCGAGCATGAGATTCCACTTTCGAAACTCAAAGATGAGATTCCAGATGTTAAATCGTTGCAGACAAACTGGCCGAATTCTTAATAAAAATTTTAGCGTCTAGCTGATTGATACGTTTCTTAATGATGATATCGATGAAATGATGATTCAACAGATATAATGTATTTTCATAGTTGTAAAATAAGATTATAATACTCTGGTGAATATAGTATAAAATACTGTCTAAAATATATAGTCAAATTTTGGTTAAAATAATACGTAAATATAAAACAAAAAAGTACTGTGAAATGAGACACAATATCTAAAATCAAATATCTGACTTTCGCGCCTTAAATTTAAACGTTTAAATGCTTTCCTACAAAACTAGATGTTACAATGCCAAATTGTATAACTATATATTACAATACCAAACTGTGCAACTAAATACTACAAGAGTTTCTCTGTATAATCAACGATTCTGACCAATAAAGCCATTATACTGATATGAATCTAAATTTCCAAAATTCAAATTCTTACTTTTTTATTTAGTTTAGGTTTTATTTAGTTATAGGTGACCATGACACGTTTTCATAATTTTGAAAACTACAGTGACTTTCTTAAAATAAAAATACATCACTATTATAAATATTTCAGTTACAGAAAGTTAATATATACTTCCAACATTATATTATATTAGTATCATGATTTAATATTCATTATTAATATTACTATTAATTCTTCATAGACCAGACTAAGAAGAAGTCTAAAATTAACAATTGTTATAAATAAGTGATTATCGTAAAAAAAAAGTCAGTATTGGTAAAGCATAATAAGTATGCAAAATGAAATTTTCAAAATATGGATAACGCGTAACTTGCAAGTGACATGACACAGAGAATTAAAAACATATTCCATTTTATTCCCAAGCAATAAAACAAATTCATTGTGTTTTAATAATGATAAACATGTAATACTTTCAAAATACTTTCATGAAAACAATATAACACCATTATGAAAAATTCTAATCAACACGTATGTCCGTGCACATAATTGCCAATTAAAAAATCATAGAAATTACTAAATTATTGAAATTTTATAATTACTGAGAGATAATCCGTATCTATGAGAATAAACGAACCTCGAATTTTCTTACGCTGCAATTTCACGAATTCTCTGCTTATCACGTTCGATGTGACCTCCATCCCTGAGGATAAAAAAGAGGAGAAAGGTCGAAGGCACTGGAAACAAAAAGCAGAGAACTCTGCTGTTCTTCCAGCTTGCTTTAAAAAACTAAGAAGGCTACGCACGAACTTGTTTTTCAAGGTTATTTCCACAATATTGGAGCAAGCTTTTGCTAAACAGTCTCAACAGCTAAAATCATCAGAACGCATCGCGTTACACAGCCGTGACCTCGTTCGCGAACTTCATTAAATACGATTGGCAATCGAGAGATTCGTTTCATCTCTCGGTCGTGAAAATTTCATTTCAACGCTCGGGGAAACTTCATCGAGTATTTAACTCGCCGAAAATAGTTTCGAAAACATCTGCCATTGATCCATCAAAAATTGCTTTCCCCTCTGTCCTAATGGACAAAGTTGGAAATGAAATTCAAAGAAACATTCATCACTATTGATATTTTGGAAATTGCTTCCTCTTTGTTCGTCGAAGCATTTGGAATTGAAGGAAAAAGTTTGATTCAGTATTTTGTGAAACAGATTAATTTTGTTAAACATTTGATGTGCTTTTTGCTATTTAACGTGTGTAGCTTGCTGATGATTCTTTTTTTAACGTGAAACATTTAGATTACTAGTTGCAAAAAAAAAAA